CGTGGTCAAAGAGTAGGATATTAATATTTTTAAAGGTAAAGCCATTGTGGGTGTTGGTATGAAGCTGGGTAGGGAAGTGGGCTGAATAAAATTAAAATAAATATCGATAGAACTGCTGAAATCAAGAAAGAGTGAGTCAGGGTGGTGCTTCTAAGAATACAGAAATAACCAAAGTAAAGGCTGGCATTTGAGTGGGGAGGGAGGTTTAAGGCAGTGTCAATCTTCAGCGAATGTACGCAGTCAAGAGTGTTGATATACAGAAGGATAGGAGGCAGCATAGCCAGGCTTTGTGAACTTCAAAAGAGAAAAGGATTGTGTTGAATCTTTTGTTAAAACGAAGTGCTTTAATGGGCCCTAAGTAGTTCCATGTGACTGTAAACAGATTTGAGCCACAGGAATCCTCATTACTGTAAAGGAATAGCCAGACTTACATCACTGCCACTGAACTTCACACACAGCTCCAGAACCACTGGGCAGAGACATGCTTTCTCCCCCTTTTTGTTATAAAAGAACACATCTGAAAGCACTATAATGAAAATGACACAGGAGCTGGCCAAGTGGCTCAGTTGGTTAAGAGTTGGCTTAAGAGCACAAGCTCTGGGGCCGGCTGAGTTGCGCGATGGTTAAGAGCTGGCTTGGGACGCCAGAGGACCCCAGTTCGGATCCCACATATGAGAGCCAGTGACACTGCCCACCACAGCTAAGATGCTGAACAATATCTCAACCTGGAGCTGGGCTGCCATGAGTCACGGGCGATGGCGTGCGCTGCAGCCCCTGCTGCAGTGGGATGCCATGGGCTACCGTGTGTAGCCAGCAGCCAGCAAGAGAGGCCAGCAGCCGCAGTGAGCGGCCGTCCAGAAGCCGGCGACTGTTCTGCCTCACCCGGGAAGAGCGCAATGATGGTGCCAACTTGGGCCAGTGAAGCAACGTCCTCCACAACTAGACTGAAGAACAAACTGACAGCAACTTGTCCGTTCCCCTTCCCCCAATTCCCCAGCACTGTTCCCATCGCTCCAATTCCCCAATAAAAATCTTTAAAAAAAAAAAAAAGCACAAGCTCTGAGCAACACGGCCGCCGGTTCAATTCCCACATGGGCCAGTGACCCTGTGCCCAAGCTGAGCTATCACTGAGCTGCCAACAGGTGGTAGGATGGCTCAACTGGTGTAACAAAATTGCCTGTTTGATAGTGCTCTATGACCACCCACAACTAAGACTGAACTTGCGCCTTGAACTGAGCTGCTGCCCGGATGGCTCAGTGGATTCAGCGTGTGCTCTTAACAACAAGGCTGCTGATTTGACTCCCGCATGGGATGGTGGCTACACCCACCAGCAACTAAGATTGAACACAGCACCTTGAGCCTAGAGGCCACAAGCTGCCGACGGGAAGCCAGATGGTGACTGGTGCCCTCCACAGTGAAATTGAAGAACAACAACTTGGCTGGTCCCTTTCTCCAATTCCCCAACACTGTACCCCTCCCCCAATTCCCCAATAAAATCTTAAAAAAATAAAAGAAAGAAAATGACACAGACGCCGCAGTGCAGAGAGCTGGAATCTCATGCCACTCCTACCCTTGACCGTGTGACTTTGGAAGTATCACTTCTCCTTGTTAGATATCATTTTCCCCATTTGTATTCATTTATTCATCTATTAATGCCTGTAACTCACAATATCTATTGAAGCTTAATATGTGCTAGGCACAAACCTCGATGTTAGGGACATAGCAGTAAGCAAGACATACCTAAAACCATGGGACCTGCAATGGGCAGTCATCTCCAAGGTGCCCCTGTGATTCTAATTATCCCCAGCAAGTGCGTGGTTGTAAGTAAAAGAGCTACAATTTCACTGTAGCATTGGAAGACCCATGGCTCTTTAGGAATACAGTTAGAATCAGATATGGAATCAGACAGTGGTTCCCAGCTTGAGATACCTGGACACTAAGGAAGTCCATGCAATTACTAATAATAAACTTCCATAAAACTGTTCCTGTCATTTTAAAAGAGTTAAATGGAATTTACACTCAAAACAGTTGTATCACCTCAGTAAAAATTAAGTGTTTCTACCAGATGGTCACACATTCTAATGTTCACATGTGCATGTTTCTGCCTTAAAATGGGAAAAAGTATTATTAGTCTACAATAAATAAAATTTAGTACCACAATGTTCCCAAGCAAATTAAAACCAAGGAGAAATTAAAAAAAAAATGAAGTCTCCTTAGTGGTGAAAATTTTGAGAATCCTCAGCATAGTGGAAAACCCTGGAATTAGAGTTTAAAGACATGGTTTGTACAAATCCCACCTCTGCCACTACTCTATGGGCAGCCTTGGCTGTATTTCTCTGAGCGTCATCTGTAAGACCAGACTAAAAGCTTACCTTTTATGGAGTTGAGAGGATTCAGTGAGGAATTCTGTAGTTCCATGTTGTTTAACATGACATAATATTGGGTTGTTGGAAAAGTCATGATGCATTTTTGCAAGGGAAAAACAGAAAAAATGTGTCATGACTTTTCCGACAACCCAATAATACCAACAGAACTCATGAAGCTGTGAGAAGAGTCTGAGATGTAGAGCCAGACACCCCAAGTTCAAATTCTAGTTATTCACAGCTCGGGGTGGGTGACGTGGGACAAAAACATGTAGGCATTAAATTCTTTGGAAGCTAGTAAGTGTTTTCAAATAAAAAATGTTATTTTCACTTCTCTAGTGCATCATGATGTTTGATTTCCCCTAGATATACACTGAAACATAAACCTCATTTCAAAACATGTCAGATATGTGATAGACGTTAAGGGCAAAGAAGAGTTAAAAGCACTACAAAAGTGTAAAGCAGAATATATTATTTATAATTACTCTTATCATTATTATAATAGTATGTTATTATTATTATACTTTCCTGATCCCATTACTTTGCTGCATTATACTCACCGTGAACCACAGGGATAAAATAAATGTAAGTTCTGTGGAGCAATTCAGTCGGCTAAGAAACCCCCACTCTCCTCCGTCTCCCCTATCTCCACTCCAGCGAGTCTCCAAGCAGAGAAGTGATTTTTCATCTCCAGTCACACCAAATGATCAAAGCAATGATCACAAAATCCAATCAATTAGCATTAAGTTTAATTAGAATGAAACATCATCTTACCCTGCCTGCTTTCATGTCCTTCTTCTAGCAGGTACCCTGGCAGTGTCCAGAGAGGCCACTTAAGAGTCCTCAGCATTGCTCCATTATACTTGATAGGCTCTTACTGTATCTGGAAACAGCCCACTTGTCATTAACTAAGACTCCCAGGTAATGTCCTTTGGGCATAGATTTATTCATCGATGTAGTTACAAGTGTTATAATTTATTCATTGATGTAGTTATGTATTTGAATCACCTTTGGGCAATTCTGCATGGCCTACATGTCGACCATATAAATTGTTTACACAGCAAGCTCAGGAACCCCTTGAAATTAATCCTATTATACACCCAAGGAGAAAGGGCAACTAAGGGTGGTGCAAGTGGATAACTTTTACTGTAGGTAGGACCGTTACTGGAAAAGGTAAAGCTATACTGGAAAACTAGCTCTAAATCTGTTATCTCCCCAACCTACCCCTGTTTGATTGATCTTTGATGTGCTAATGTTTGAAAATTGCCTATTTATAATTAATGAATACTTATGAAAGCTCTTGAAGTCATGTCAGCCCATTAAAAAAAATCAATGATATATCACATCTCATGTCTTTCTCCTCAAAGTGGTCATTCTGAATCTCAGTGCCGGCCATGTATTTGAATAACTTGGCAAGCTTTAAAAAATACTGATGCAAAGTTCCATTCCAGATTAATTATTAGAATCAAATGGGGGTAGACAGACATCGCAGTTTCTGTCACAGAACCCCAAGTCATTCTATTGTGCAACCAATGTTTTAAAAAAAACTGAAAGGTCCACATTCTCAGATACTCCCAAAACATCTTAACCCTTTCCACAAGTCCTGGACAATGCGCAGGTGTCAGAGTGAGGGCTGGGGGGCATCCTTTATGATGGGTGCGAGTGTTGCAGGAAACTCAGAGAGACAGGACACCAAGGCTCAGGAAGCAACGTTTATTGTTGCCGGCACCGGCTCAGCAGATTTACATCTAGAGGCTGAGCCCCGACCCAGGTGGGACTTGGGGCTATATACCTTGAGGTTTCCAGGTTGGCAGCTAAAATTTATTATTAGGACATGTGGCCATTGTGCCTGTCCCTGACTGGCTCCCGGATGAGGCAGGAATTCGGAAATATTAAATGCGGAAGTCTTAATGGCCATGCAGTCTAGGAATGTCTTTGTCTGAAGCTCCCTGCTACAGCGCGGAATCCTTAGTGACCACATGGTCTGGGAAAGCCTTTGTCTAGGGCCCACTGCCACAGGAGCACATTGTTCCATCTCAGAATCTATCTTGTTGACAGGTGTGTTTCTAAGATAAAGAGAGCATCCTCCTAGAGGATAATGTGAATGTCTTAGGAATTTACCTGAATTATTCAAAACGATCCACTATGCCTATAAAGAAAGCAAAGTTGTAAATGCATTTGGCACTTGGCCTTACCTGTGTGGAAATAACCCACACAGCTCATTTTCACACTGGAACACCCCTGTCTGTACCTCCCTTTCCTGTCACTGCAGGCCTTTGACTCATTCTGAACTTATGCCTCTATGGAAACCATCCACAGACTTTTTTTCCCCAAATTACACACTCCCCTCATTCTCCCACCCAGAGTCTCCCAAGAAGAGAACCACTAGGGTTTTTTGTTTGTTTGTTTCTTTCTTTGTTTTGTTTTTGTTTTAACACAGCACTACTGCTGATCATAGCCAATGTAGCATTCACAGACCCACTGCCTGAATATGTGTGTCAGTACAAGAAAACAGTAGGCCAATAATTATGAAATGTCTTTCCTTTGATTGGACTTTGCACCCAGGAAAGGCAATTCAACAAAAAATCCTGATCTAAAACAAACAATTTTTGTTCCTGTGCTCTGGCCGTTTGCTAATAAATGCCTCACCAGACCAGTCTGGCAGTTGCACTTGGAGTTGCCTCGCTAGAGCAGATGTCTGTCAGCAGGAGGGTCGCCTTTGCAATATGCATGTTAACAATAAGTATCGTGACAGCTGGGCCCACTCCCAGGTGAGTAGCTTTTGTGTTTGTCTGCAATTTCACTGTGGGCTTTGGTGTTTCAAGGTCTACTTCTTAGCAGCAAAGCAAGTTAAAAAAAAAAAAAAGATATCTCATATTGAAATACATAGCCCCAGAATTTAAACTGAAAAGAGGGTAAGGAAAGGTGGTGGGGGGGTGGGGGGAACGGGATATCTTTGAGAGTTTTCTAAAGAAACCTGCTGCTGTTTCCAGGGATTTCTTTTAAACAAGGCATTCAAATGTTAAGGCTGAGAACGTCTTTAAGTACTTAGAATTATAAAACATAGCTGATTTTTACTAGAGTATAATAAAGCTGGGCTTATCAGTATCTGTGTCTGAGAGGTTTAAAATTGAGGAAATTAAACTTTTCCTCACTCTGCCTCAATGTCTAACACTTAACTATTGATTAAATCACCGCTTTGTCCCCACATCAGGCAAAGGTTAATCATTTTTGCCATCCCAGAGGCACACATTTTGTCTTAGGGTTTCGGATGGTATTTCTTTCATTGAAGAAGAATCACCGTAGTGCGGACCTGGTAACCATGCTTCCAGCAACGGCTCTTACTTTCTCTCCTTTTGCTCTGATCCTAATTGGAAACATGAAACTCAGGCCAAGTCAACCCAGGAAATAAATCAACCAGACAATTCTGAACATCTACGCTGTACCCAGAATTGCTGGACAACCCACAGACCTGAGTGACTGATACGGCGTGATCCAATCCCGTGACCATTTTGAAATATCTGGGGCTTTGACAGGACAGCTGGGGGGAAATATCTGTCTAAATGCTGTCTTTCTGCCCAGACATAACTGTGACCTGCCTTCAATTCCCCTTTGATCATTTGACTCTTGGTTTCACCGGACTCTGTTTTGGACGCTGATGTCCATCTCAAGGACCTCTTTGCCTGCCTCTCAGCTGGCCCTTTGCTAATAAACGCAGTGGATGCTGCCTTTGTGCCTGGGCTCCCTCAGCACGTGGTGTGCACACAGGGTTGCATCTTCCTGGAGGGGCGCACAGAGGGACCACACAAAATAACACAGGCCGGGGTCAAGTGCTCCATCAGGCTCTCCTTGATCCCATCCCTCTTCCCACATTATCTAAGAAACACTACTCCATTCAGGCAATATTTTCATTTACTGGGCGTGGGGTACAAACAGGATTTGAGAAGCCAGCTCTTGAGAGTTGCGTTAGCCCTCCTGTACTTACCCTGACCCTTTCTTAACTTAAAAAAATAATTTAAACAACCCACATTCCAGGATTGTGACTCCTGCTGATCAAAAATGAGAGGCTGTGGAGAAGGCTTCAACTGCTTTGAAGTTTGTACCCCCCCAGGTCCTGGCCATGCTCAGCTGTTTCAGGGAGGACCAGAGAGCCCCTTTGGCTGGCCCCCCAGCTGAGCTATGACTTTTTATTTTAGATGAGAAACATAAATATGTTTGTATCAATTCCTTTAGGTGTCATTGTGAAAGGAGATAGATGGGGGTAGCTGAAAGGAAATGTAGAGTTCAGAAAAAGTGTTTTATTTGTTTATTCATCTATTTGTTTATGTTTCATGTCAAAGACTTGAACATGTTATATTGCAAATAGAAAGGAGCTGGTAATGAGGGGGCCCTTTTAATGGAGGAGATATTCAATTGATCAAGGTCTCAAAGAGGAGCTGGGATCTAGAGCCTGCGTGGAGAGATGGATGGTACCTAGCCATCCTCCTGGAGTAAGAGGCTGCATTGTCAAAAGGATAGGTTCCAGTTCAGGGAAATGGAGGCAGAAAGTTAATAGGCTCCTTGTTTGGTGGCTTCTGTTTTAGGTTAGTTTGTTTGCTTGTTTGTTTCCGTCTATGAATGAGATAGTAATCCAAGGTGGTGTTGCAACCAGAAGAGATCCAAATGGTGAACCAAGAGAGAAAGAAACGTTCAAAGCCAGGAAAACACTCCTGAGCATTGGGCCTACGGGAGGAAAGGAAGGCCGTAAGTGCCAAAATGGATGATGTTAAAACACAGGAAGATGAGAAGTGAGTTTTGAAGTGGAATGTGAAGTGGTAAGGCTTCCAGTTTAGGACAAAAAGAATGCAGGAGTGGGAAAGTCTGACTTATAAGGTGCTTGCTTCAGGAATGGCTGAAATTTGCAAGAGAATTGGGCAGCTCCAGGCTTTGCCAGACTGTGGGGTGGGGGGACGACAAAGTGAAACAAGGTGCTTCAATGAGTTCATAAACTAGTTGAGACTATAAGGTTAATTGATGTAGGACACCTAGCAGAATGTCTGGCTAATTTTCCTCACCACCATTATTGTTGTGAGGTTGAAAGTTAAATTACAGTTCAGCACAAGAATTAAACAAACAGATGAGTTAAAAATACAAAGTAATGTGTGATCCAGTGTTAATGAGAGGTATAGTAAAAAGGTAAGTAGTATAATTTGGAAAGGGGGAAAGTAGTAAATAAATGAAACTGGCTTGTAAAGATGTTTTGGAAGCAGGCACTTATAATGGTCATTATAAGTTGGCATATTCTGTTGTCTTAGTTATGACCAAAAGGAAAAGCGGAGGAGTGACAGTCTATCACCCATAGACTGCAGAATGAGCCCTTGGAGCGAGTGGTCGGAATGTGACCCTTGCCTGAAACAAATGGTAAGCATTCAACGCTATTTCCTGCTGACATCCCCAGATGGAAATTATTAACCGCATCCCCAGGGAAATGATTATGAGGCAGGGAGCCCCCTACTGAGTTCCTCAAACTGAGAAGGCAAGATACATATCTAAGTGGGTATGGCTAATCTTGCTGGGAAACCTGAATGCTACACGGTATATTAAACGACTGTCACGAGGAACCATCTTCTGTAGAAGGAGACAGCCACCCTTAGACTGTGAGGTGTTACTTTAAGTAACATTAGGGCCTGTTTTTATGGCCCCCATCTTAAAACCACTGATAAATGTGAGCTTGGAGGGCTGCAATGGTGTGGGTAAAATTTTGGATTGTAATCCCTTTTCAGCATTAGAAATGCTAACGTTTCCAGGTGGTTTTGTGCAGTTTCGTTCAAGGAGAATTGAGGCTTTTGGACAATTTAATGGGAAAAACTGCCTGGACAGCGTGGGAGACAGACAACAGTGTGTACCCACTAAGCCCTGTGAAGACGCTGAGGATGACTGTGGAAATGACTTTGAATGTGGTACAGGTAATCCTTGCACTCGCACTGCTCATTGTGAGTTTCTGTGTGCACTCATGGGTGAAAAGAGAGATGCTTCATATTTCCAAGTGTGAAAGGGGACCCCAAATGGGCCATCTACAGGTTATTCTATATAGAAAAGACAAGGGTCTCCTCCAGCATTAAATTGCATTTGATAACTTCAGAAAGAGAGAGAATTTGGTGTTAGACACACAGTGCCTCCCTTGATTTTGATTGCAGGCAGGTGCATAAAGAGGCGACTTCTGTGTAATGGCGACAATGACTGCGGAGACTTTTCAGATGAGGATGATTGTGAAGATGATCCCCGTCCCCCTTGCCGCAACAAAGTGGTGGAAGAGTCTGAGATGGCACGGACAGCAGGCTATGGGTCAGTACATCCCATCTGAATGTCCCAGACTAGATGGAGATGAGTGTAAAGGATCTCCATCTCTCCTGCGTGTTAGAGTGGTAGAGGGTTTGCAATGGTAGGGAGAGTAGCCGGTGGGTCCATATTCTGTTTGAATTACCTTTGAGTTTGAAAGAAGCTACATGCTGAATGAGTATCTCAAGATAATTTGGACAAACTGCCTGACCTCAGTAGGTGTCTATAGAATGGACGAGACTATCAAGCTATTAGGTGATTACTTCTGCACCCAGTAAAAGATAAAATGCCTCATTTATGAACCTCTGGAAGACCATAGCAGTGTTGAAATGACCTGTTAGCATTTAAAATGTGCCTGGTAATCCCATTCAAATGTTTGAATTGCCAGGCAGACTGTATTCCATTCGAACTTCTCCTGGGTCTATACCTGGTTATAAGCTCTCAGGAGGTTCCAGCATTCTGGAGTTGACCCGAGAGGCATAGGACAGAGAAAGCAATCCTGATGCCAGCTGGTGATGGTGTTGAGACTGTGATTCTCATTACAGAGTTACACTTTCACTCATTTCCCATGCAAAATTAGGGTCTCTGGCCAGTAAGCTCCAACGAGTTAGAATTCAGGGTTACACAGAATAGAGACCATTTACAGAGATCTGTGGTCCCAGAGTTGTGAAAATAACACAGGTTGGAGGTGCTGCTCTGTTCCATATAGTCAGAAGACATTCCATGCCTATCCATGGCATTGTCTCCATTATTTGTTAAGAGCAGTAAAGATAGTTTGGGTTGATTTGTTGGCAAATTGACCCTAACAGAGACATAGCTATTCGGCCATCCAGTGATGTGTTGACAGAGATGGAACATGGCCCTGAATGCAATGTGTCTCTTCATTCTCACAGTCTCAGTGCCTGGATCATAGTAGGTGCTTAACAAACGTTGGTGGGTAGATAAACAGGTGAATTAATTAACTAATGAAAATAAGTGCTTTCTAAAATAGTGTCAGTTGACATCAGGTAAAACTGAAATTCAGGACTCCAGTCCTGGGAACAAGGATGGGCACAGGAACAAGATGGGGGAGATGTAAGAGTAAAGCTGACAGGGGGACTAAGGCAGTGGTTCCCAACAAGAGGTGATTCCTGCCCACCCCCTAAGGGGACATTTTGCAATGTCTGCAGACCATTCTGATGGTCACAACTGTGGGGTGTAGGGATGAGTGGCTTTGGGGAGTGAGGGAGCATGCAGACATTCAGTGGGTAGAGGCCCTGCAATGCACAGGACAGCCAGACCCAAAACGTCAGTAGAGCTGAGATTGAGAAAGCTTATACTAAGGAACTGGACAGTTCCTAAGATAAAACTTCTGTAAAAATGGAGATGTCTTCTCTCTCTGAGACAGACCAAACTTCTACTTCTTCAACTGCAGAAGAAAAGAATTCCAGGATACCCAGAGTCAGGCACCAGATAGAGCATTTCATACGCCTTTTATTCACTTTATGAATCTTGCCCAAGCAGCATTCAAATAATATCCACAGTGTCTTTGGCCCTAAGCCTAAAGGTAGGAATCTTGAACCAAATGGGTGGTCTTGGGTCCCAAACTCAGCAGGCCTTTTTAATTGGCGGAAACGGTATGGGAGTTGTCCAAAGCCTTTTAACCAGATCACAGCAGCTCTGACTCCTCTTGCTGCTTTCCTCAGGGAGAGACTGTGAGTCCATGGCAAAAGCCCATTATTACTTTATTTTGCTTTATTTGGGATCCAAGAAACAGCTTTCTCCCTAATCTAAACAAGAGGGCTTGAAGCAAGAAATTACATATGTTATATATTCTCACTTAATGTGAATTTACATCTTGTCTTATAGGAAAAGGATACAGAAATCCTGGCCAATTTAGCTGAAAAACAATTATTCATAATATATTGGTTTCCTTTGTTCGGAGAAAAGAAAATTTACTATATAACATTTGCCAGGGAATTTCATACTGAGACATCCCAGAGAGCTGGCTAAGTCTCCTTAAATACCTCATACTTCACTAGTTGGTGATAGGGAACGTCAAAAGGCTGAGTTTTCAGGACTAAGGAAGCTGGTAGGGTCCCAGCTATGGGGAAAGATTAGCTGCAGAGGTGAAAAAGGAGGTAGGCCTTCACAGACTCAGTCCACCAACATTTTTTATTCAATTCCCCGTTACCATGATCCATAACCTATAACCTATTTAGCCTCCATAAAAATCTATTGTTCTCTGACAGTTTTCATTTACCTAATACTTTGAACTTTTCAAAATCTTTTTGCATATTCATTCGTTCCTTGTAGATTTGCATCATAATCCTGTGAGGTTGTTAGGAGAGGCATTATATTTATTTTACAGATAAGAACTGAGTGAAATAAGGCCATTTGGTTCATTAGTTTCTAGCAGAACTCAAACCCAAGTTTCTGGGATGTATATAAGCCTATATTTTCTCCACCATGCCACTTACCTTCTCCTTCTGCCACATGCCCATCACTACCACACCTCCTCTCCCATCTCACTACAAAACCCATGAGTCAACACCCTGACTTCAAAGCAAAACTAACTTTAGAAAGTGAAACTCAAGTAGTATATTACCCAAATATTTGAATGAGGAGTATAGAAGAGTAGTATAAATCAATAACTAATATTTAAGAAGAGATTCCAAAATGACATGCTTTATTATATTAATGGTATTCTTCAATACCATTAATATTACAGACTTATTTACTGTGCATCCCCATTACTCTTATACGGAGTGATGGAACTATATTGAAATAGAGGTAATAGACGTAAACATCCTAACCGTTAGCAACATGCCTATAAACTGCTTCTACACCATCCAATCTGGAAAACTTTAACAAGTCTTATCAGCAGTCATAGCCACTCAGGTTCTTGTACACATGGAAGCACAAGTACTCATAATAATTAATTTATACTTTTTTTTTTCATTTGAAGGACTCTTATTTAAATTCTTATGCCAGGAGAATTCGCTGGTATCACAAATGTTTCAATCTCTGTCTTGTAGGCATCTGAGGCTCTCCAGAAGTGTTTAGGGAAATCCTCAACCCATCTTGCATTCATTGAAAAAACATAAATCTGAACCAGCTGCAAATGATGTACAATATGCAAGGAATTACTTTTTTTTTTTTGCATGATCTAAGCATAACACCACTTCTGAGGAGGGACCTTTTCTCTTCATTTCACCTGGTAAATTGGAACTGCCTGTGGTTCTAGATGCAGGTGTGAAAACAGGCATCTCTAAGTGCTGCCAAACAACACATGGTTTTTATTTCCCAGGCAATGACATTTGATCTATCCATGAGAAGTTTTCATGTTTCTTGGCAGAAAAAAATTCTGGCTCATTCTAGACCAGACAGGCTGTCTCTGTAGTAGTGGAACCAAGTCAAAAGCTTTGAAACATTTCTTCCTTAGTTGTGCTTTAGACTGTGGATCAGCTTTATTGTGACTTTCCAGAAGGATCCAGCCAACTGGTCAATTTGCTGATCTGTAAGACAATAACCTTCAGACTGGGGAACACGAACCATGGTGTGCAGAAAGACTTTCCAAGGGAGGGAGCTAGGTACATTTTAAGATAATAGTTTCTTCAACTATTAGTTATTTAATTAATCTATTTCATTCATAGTAAATCTTCAAGTCCATATACACATACTTTTCGTAAAATTGATAAGCTTGACAAGTCAGTGGCATTCAAGTTGTCAAGCCCATTTTCCTCTCTCACCCCCTCTTTTACAATCACCTAACACTTTCCAAAAGAAGAGTGCACCCCTCAACCATCTCACATTTTACAATGAGGTGGAAAAAACAAGAAACAATTCCAAATTGTTTGTAAGTCAAATGGTCTCCAATTCTTTTTATCAACCACATTAAAGATGTCCTAATCAATTATCAGATTACAGACTATAAAAGTAACTTTTGATGGAAGACTAGTATATGATTTTTTGGGGGCATAAAATTCAGAATATCAAAGAACTGAGTGATATTGCTATGACAAAATTCATTCTATTCTTATCTACTTATTTATGTGCGTAAATTTTCTCAGCATTTACTTCTATAAAAATGGAAAGTAGGAATAAAATTGATACTGAACCCTGTCTTTTTCTACAAAGTAATAAGTAATATTCATCCATGGATGCAGGAAGTAATCAATTAATTAAAAAAGAAACCCCATTCATTTCATTGAGAGACACCTTTCAAAAAATTTTACTTATATTTATTAACAATTTTTAAATGTGTAATATGCTTATATACCAACAATAATAATTATAAGTCAATCCAGAAGAATTTTTTAAATACTTAGGCCATATAGTCAAAGAATATTTAATATTTTTAAAATTTAAATTAATACCTTTTTGGTACAGAAAAGTATCAAAGTTGATCAATTAAAGCTTTCATGCATAAAATGAAATTATATTAAATTAAAATACTATGGTAAAAATGGAATATAAATATGGATTTAAGAATAAAAGGGAGGTAGGGGTATATGGAAAATCTCTGTATCTTCTGCTCACTTTGCTGTGACCCTAAAACTGCTCTGAAAAATAGTCTATTAAAAAACAAAGAATAAAAAAGAACACTATAAAATGTCCAGCTGCTAAAGAAATATAAATATTGTAGTAATTTGATACCCACCATCGCTATAGTATTTATATTCTGCTGGACTTATTTATTTATTTTTATTAATTGTTTTAATTAAAGTTTATTGGGGTGACAATGGTTAGTAAAGTTACATAGGTTTCAAGTGTACAATTCTGTAATACATCATCTATATATCACATCGTGTGTTCACCACAAAGTTCTCCTTCCATCACCATATATTAGATCCCTTTTACCCTCATCTACCATCCTTCCTTCCCCCTTATCTTCTGGTAACCACTAAACTATTGCCTGTATCTATGAGTTTTTGTTTGTTTGTTTTTGTTTGTTTGTTTGTTTGTTTAAAGATTTTATTGGGGAGTTGGGGAAGGCGAACAGTGCTGGAGAATCAGGGAAGGGGAACAGCCAAGTTGTTGTCCTTCAATCTTAGTTGTGGAGGGAGCAGCTAGCTGAGCTCCAAGTCCAGTCACCATCTGGCCACCAGTCGGCAGCTCATGGCCGCTCAGCTCAAGGTGCCATGTTCAATCTTGTTGTGGGTGGGCATAGCCCACCATCCCATGCAGGAGTCCAATGGGCAGCCTTGTTGTTAACAGTGTGCACTCTATCCACTGAATCACCTGGGCAGCAGCTCAGCTCAAGGTGCCGGGTTCAGTCTTTATTTGCAGGCGGGTGTAGCCCACCATCTCAAACAGGCAACCTTGTTGTTAGGAGCACGTGCTCTCACCAGCTGAGCCATCCTGCCACCTGTTGGCAGCTCAGCAATGGCTCAGCTCAGGCACAGCTCACTGGCCCATGTGGGAATTGAACCGCTGACCGAGCTGCTCAGAGCTCGTGCTCTTAACCAACTGAGCCGCTCGGCCAACCCAAGTTTTTGTTTCTTTATTTGTTTGTCTTGTTCCTTTGTTGCTTTCAGTTTTATATCCCACATATCAGTGAAATCATATGGTTCATGACTTTTTCTGACTTATTTCACTTAGCATAATAATCTCAAGGTCCATCCATGCTGTTGTAAATGGCACTATTTTATATTTTCTTATGGCAGAATAGAATTCCATTGTGTATATATGCCACATCTTCTTTATCTAATCATCTATCAAAGGATACTTTGGTTGTTTCCATGTCTTGGTCACCATAAATAAAGCTGCAATGAATATTAGAACACATATATCCTTATGGATAAATGTTTTTAGATTTTTTGGGGGTGAATACCCAGGAGAGGGATGGCAGGGTCATATGGTAATTCTATTCTTAATTTTTTGAGGAACCTCCATACTGCCTTCCATAGCGGCTGCACCAATCTGCATTCCCACCAACAGTGTATGAGGGCGCCTTTTTCTCCACAGCCTCTCCCACACTAGGAGAAAAAGGATTTATTTTTAAAAGAGGCAAAATAACTATATTTAAAATGTAAATATTTACAGCATACTAGAAAATTTTATTTTTTGCAACTACTTAAATTTAAGATGAAAAATTTTAGATGCCAACTTAAAACTGTGCAGGGAGGCTTAGTTTATCAAAATTTTCTGTAGCATAGACAAGCAGAAAATTTGAAGACTACTACCTGAAAACACGACGTATACATTTTCACCTCTAGGCTTTTGCACATACCATGCCTCTTCCCACATTAGCCCCATCCTTCAAAGTACAAATCAAATCCTACTTTTTTTAAAACTTTTTTTTTTATGAGACTGCAATGGGGATCTCTTCTTCTTGAGAACCAGCACAACACTTAACTGAACTATTCATTTAGAATACGCATATTTGTCCTTAGATAATTTTTTTAATTGGTGATTGTGTGTCTAACTCCCTACATTGAATATGATTTTCATGAGATCAAAGACTGTACAGTAACTCTTTTAATATTACCCACTATTTATAACAAACACTACACTACACATAGACATAGTAGTCACTTAAGAGTTAATCATCATTATAAACAAAGATTAATGTCATTATTGAAGGCAAGTGAAAAAGTAGAGTGTCTCTGTTAATATACAGAGGGTGCCAAAAAAAGTATACACATTCTAAGAAAGAAAAAAACTATTAAACTTGTAATACTCAACATACACCAATAACAAAAGATGGATACAAGTCACATTTGACTTCTGCAATTACAAGAGGTGCTCAAAGTGGTTACCATCAGTGTCCAGACACTTCTGATTACAGCAATCTATTGCTTGAGCAATGTTGACCAAAGTGTCCACTTGTATACCTTTTTTGGCATCCTCAGTAGATATATGGAGGACAAGTTCACTGCGGAATAAAGAAAATGTACTTGAGTTCTTGTTTAAGAAACAAACACAGATCATTTGTTTCTAGTATCCTCTCTTTGCATCAAAACCTTAGTAATACAAAAAATAATGTATTGTTCACATGTCTATACTTGCAGGGATGGGTGAAGAATTAAAGCAAAATTTTAATTTATCTTGAGGGATAAGATATTTAAGAAAGTAAACCAAGTCTATAATGTTTCTTTTTTCCCCTCTTTCTTAATCAGGTTACTAGGTCTAATTTTTGGTGCTGTATTAGAACTTCAGAGCCACAGCACTTTTTTTTTTAAATTGGGGAATTGGGGGTGGGGAAGAGCGTTGGGGAATCAGGGAAGGGGAACAGACAAGTTGCTGTCCTTTTGTTCTTCAGTCTAGTTGTGGAGGACATCACTTCACTGGCCAATGTTGGTATTATCATTGCACTCTTCCCAGGTGAGGCAGTCGCTCGCCGGCCATTGGATGGCTGCTCATGGTGGCTCACAGCAGCTCACGAAAGCTCATGCCTGCTGCCAGCCCCACTGCAGCCTACGCCGTGCCAGCGATTCATGGCAGCCCAGCTCCAGGTCGAGCTGTTGTTCACCATCTTAGCTGTAGAGGGCGTAATGTCACTGGCCCTCATGTGGGATCCAAACCGGGGCCCTGCTGCTCAGAGCTGGTGTCCCAAACCAACTCCTAACCAACATGCCACTCGGCCGAGGGCCACAGCATTTTTTATGACAGATATTTTTGGCAGGGCAAGAAGTCAGAAGTGATCCATTTTGACTATATGGTCAGCTTTGAGCAAGAGTCCTGAATCAGTTTCTTAACTTGCCGTCCACTAAAGTTGACCTATAGTGTTCACTTTCTTTGTAAATTCAAAGTTTATTAAGAATGTGCTGCTTATATGAAGATGTTTTTAACTAACCCACTGGCAATAGGATACCCTTTAAATTATTTTTCTTGAATTAGCAATGGTTTTACAGTAAGCCATCCACACCCTTTGACAAATTGCTCTTGAAACCCAACATCTGAATCTGTAATCCAGCTCATGGGAGTTAGGAATGTGGTCTAGAACAATGGAAGAGTTTATGCTTTTGTGCCAAGCTAAGTTATAGATGCGAGGGTGACACCTCCATTTTGGCCTCCCTGGCCTGGGGCTGTTTATTCCAGATATGGTCTAGACAGCAATGACTATTCCTCCAGTTAACAAAGGTGAACTTCACAAATGAGCGAACTGCTTTTTGTTCAATATTGGTTTTAGGTCTATAAATCAAACTTAACTTCTTTTAAGCTAAATAAGATTTCCTATTTCTGAATTACAGCTTGCCTAATACAAATATTTTGCTGTAGAACTTTGAAGAAGCCTTTTCTGGGATGCTGAAATTTGGGGGTTTCTCTTGGAAACAAAAGACTCATGTAAGCCTAGAGGGAATGCAGTTCTTGACAGGCAATGAGACAACTGGAGGACAAGGCTTACATGTAAAGAGAATAAGGAAAGAACCCCAATGCTGATTCATACATTAAAAATTACACGCATACATTATACTGTCCCCCTCAGGTGCTCTGTTCTCAAATAATTTAAATAGGTGGTATTACAGTATTGACTCTTAGTTCACTAAGAGAGGTTAGCTAAGAGTTACAGCAATGGAGTTAAGACTCTAGGAACCAGATGGGCTCCTACTCCTTACTCCTTTCTTTCATTGTGCTCTCAACAGTGTCCTAGTTGTCAAAAGAGTTCATAAGGATTCCTTAAGGTAAGCTTTCTGCCAGAGACACAGAACAGAGGTGAACAGGCTCTTGCTTCTGTTCCTGATTATATCACACACATATGGGGTGATGGGGACATGAGCCGAAACTCTCTCTCTCCCCAGCTAGAGGACTGCCTTGCACTACTCCTGGTATCTTCCTACCTGATGCCCCTCTGTTCATTCTCAGGATCAATATCTTAGGGATGAATCCCCTAACCACCCCTTTTGACAATGAATATTACAATGGACTCTGTGACCGCGTTCGGGATGGCAACACCTTGACCTACTACCGAAAACCCTGGAATGTGGCTACTCTAGCCTTTGAAGTAAGTCTCCTTAGAAGAAAACACGTGGTTCCGCTTTTAGTTAAAAGGTATTTTAATAAGTTTAATACTAAATAATGTAAAAAAGTCAGTAGAATAAAACCGTAATTTGAAAATAAGATTGACTTAAAGAAGAGGAGGTATAACTTAGGTCTCTTTAGAAAATATACAGTCGTCTATAATCAACCCTCAGTAACATGCACCTGGTGATAGAGTTTGGGCAAATACCTAGACTCCATTAAAAAAATCATATAAGGTCCTGATAAAACTAAATACTAAATTAGTGCTGATTTAAGAATTGAGAACACTCTGTGTTATTTGAGCTCAGTCAGTTTTTGCTAGCCTACCAATGAATTTTTTTTTTAAGATTTTTTATTGGGGAATTTGGGGGATGGGAACAGTGCTGGGGAATTGGGAAGGGGAACAGACAAGTTGCTTTATTCTTCAATCTAGTTGTGGAGGACGTTGCTTCACTGGCTCAAGTTGGCACCATCATTGCGCTCTTCCCGGGTGAGGCAGATCAGTCGCCGGTTTTTAGACGGCTGCTCACTGCGGCTGCTGGCCGCTCACACTGGCTGCTGGCTACATACGGTAGCCCATGGCAACCCACTGCAGCAGGGGCTGCAGCCTACGCCGTTGCCAGCGACTCACGGGCAGGGCAGTGTCACTGGCCCTCATATGTGGGATCCGAACCGGGGCCCTCTGGCATCCCAAGCCAGTTCTTAACCATCGTGCCACTTGGCTGGCCCCCAATGAAATCTTTATGTTTGATTTTCTTCAATATTCCCCTTTGTAAAGCCTTCTTGACTAATGTGAGGGCTATTTTCACTCACCTCAAAGCCCTCTAGCTCTTGTAAAACTATCTCTTAATGTGATTTTGCTCTACACAAGTCCACCCTGAACTTACCACCTCCCTGAAAGTCACCCGAATCCTCTAACTCCATACACAAACTGGACCCCCATTTAAAGGATTAATATTTATCACCCTTACAGATACCTTTTTTGGTCTAAACAAGATATAATAAAGAATAATCATTATATTATTGTAAACTAGGAGCTAAAATATTATTTCTTTAAATAGCCCCATTGGGGACAAAGTCCTTTATTATTGTTGCCACTCCCACCAATTTTAAAAACATACATACTTTTATTTTTATTTTTACTTTTCATTTTTTTATGTTTTTTAGCTGAACCATCCTGCCACCTGTTGGCAGCTCAGCGGCAGCTCAGCTTAGGCCGGGAATTGAACTGATGACCCTGTTACTCAGAGCTCGGACTCTTGAGCGAGATTTTAACCAACTGAGCCACTTGGCCGGCCCAAAACATACAAACTTTTAAATAAGTATAGTTACTATTCCTTTTATTTCTAGCAATGTTATAAGTCAATACCTACCCATTGCAGCCTGAAGTGGTCCTGCTCCTCCATGGATTCCAAGACTTTAATGACTGGACTAGTTGACTGGCATTTTTCTTTTAAACATGCGACCACATTGTCACATGTTTTTGTCAAGTTTTTTCTGTATATTCACAGAATCACTTTCCCACAAATCTCAGGGAATATTTTGGATTGTTGATCTTTCCCCATCATGCTTGGTTCACCTTCTTTAAGCACATTTTTTTGAGGGGAAGATAATATTCTTTCTAAAAAGATTTGCACAAGTTCTATTTTCTTAAAAAGAAGATACCAAAGATAAGATTACCTTTGTCATTGCTTATGGAAGAACGGTTGTCATTGTGTTGTTTGATTTTGTTTTTAGTTCTCAGGTCTACATCATACAGTTTTCCTGTCTTTGTCACTGTGACCAGATGCTTAGCTTCGCTATAAGGGTAGTAGCGACTGGTGAGGGCTGGAGGGTTGCCTGCACTGATCTTGAAGCTACATTTGGAGAGGGGGGACACTGTTGTCCCTTATCTACAACCTTGAAAGCTTCCTCACTCAGAATGGTTTGGATTTTACAAAGGTGATGTGGTACTTTCCAAATACAGAGGGTTCCAAAAAAATGTATACACATTGTAACACATTGTGAACTGGTGATGCAGATCTGCCTCTATGCATTGAAGGGAAGTGTTTCCAGAGGTATCACACCCTCAAGCACTGCTAGGGTCTTTGGCGAGTATTTCCTGAAAATTTCAGTTCACAAAAATAGTTAGCAAATTTGTTACAAATTTTTAAAGAAGCACAATATAAAAGTTGATTTAAATAGTTTAAACCCTGGGAACAGGCATTTAAACACTTTAAATGCCCCATCCTCAATGTGTTAAAATAACATTTTTTTGGCACTCCCATATATTACTTACAAACTCGGTGGTATTAGGAGCAGCATCCCATAATCAAACACATTAATATTTCTGCAGCAGAACTAATCCATGTTCACACGTAGTAGGAGAAATGAAGACTATAAATAACTATTTATCAGTTCACATCAGATCAGTACCTCCAAATGAGTTTTGGCATCAAGCTTATAAAAAAGCAGGTAAGGATTGTGGACCTGAATAGTTACTTGGTGCCATCTAAGGAACAGTGCTTGATGGAGTTGGCTTAAGGTTTGCTAAAGCCCCAAATCAACTCCTTGGTGCTACTACTGATGGTACTCCTCTTATTCTAATCTGTTATGGTATTGGAAAGTAAACAGCCAAATTTGTTTGCACTCAATAAATATTAGTTATTATCATTAGCTATATTGGATCTGCATATTAAATTAAATAACTTTTTACTAGCGTCTCCTATGTGCCAGGCAATTTACTAAATGGTGACATTATAGTGACACGTGGTAAGTCAGGCATGCTCCTTGACTCCTTGGAGTTTACCACCTGAAAGCCTATTAAACAAACAGTTATAAAATGGAATCGAAGTTCATTTTGTTTTATTTTAAAAGAAGCGCCATGAGAGCTTATAGAACATGGATTTGTTAGTCTGTGGGATCAGGAAAGGCCTCCCTGATGTTTACGCTAAGACTTGAAATAGTATGAATTGACCAAGGCAAGAGGTATAGTATGTGTGTATGAGAGAGAGAGAGAACGTAGATGTGTATGAGTGAGTTCCATGTTTGTGTTATGGGAGAATGGGGGTGTGCTAGAGAACATTCCAGAAAGTATAAAAGGGCCTTGTGGTGGGAAGAAGCGTAAGCTATGGAGATAGAAAAGTGGCTGAAGGGCTTGAGTATAGTAAGGAGAGGTTAACTTGGAATAACTCTAGTTTAGACTTTATCTTAAGTCAGTAGGAAGATTTGGAAAGATTTTAAACAGGGAAATGACATGGTTAGGTTACATTACCCCTTTACATTGAGTATTTTTCCCAGCATGCCTTGCTCTAAAGAAAATTATATACATTTTAGTCTTTCCCATTAGATGGTAACTTTAAGCTCTCTGTCTTAGTCTGTTCTGACTGCTATAACAAAATACCAGAGACCAACTAACTTAGAAATAACAAAACAATTCGCACAGCCTGAAGGCTGGAAGTCTGAGATAAGTGTGTTAGCGTGGTCATGTTAGGACCCTCTTTGAGGCTGCAGACTTCTCATTGTGTTCTTGCATAATGGAAGAGGCTCGTGAGCTCTGTGAGGTTACTTTTGCAAAAGCTCTAATCCCATTCATGAAGACTCCTCCCTAAGGCCCCATCTCCTAATACCATTACATTGGTGTTAGGAATTTAACATGGATTTTGGGGTGACATAAACATTCAGACCTTAGCATTCCCTATGCAGAATAGTCACCCAATGCATGCTAGTGAATCCAACCTATGCCACCAACTGAAGAGATGAGTGTCTTCTTCCTAGATAAGAATTACATCTTCTTTCAGAGGACCTCTGGAAAGAGCTTAACCATTGAGATTAATGACCCTCCCTTTGATATTTGACAATACCCAGTTTGGTAAAGAATGTTTTAATTGAAAATTTTAATTTTTAACTAGGTTGTTTAATTCTGGGTTTTTTTTTCCATGCAAAAATGAATATGGAAAAAAAAATTTAAAAGTCCAAACAGCACAATAGATTATGCAAGGAAAAGTGCTCCAACTCCACTTCCCCATTTCACAGTTCCCCTTCTCAAGGGCAAACACTCTGTGGTTTGTCTATATTTCCAGTAATTTTCCACACACATAAAAGCATCTATCTATCTATTGTCTATCTATCATCTATCTATTTTTCTCTATTTATACAGGCAGCAGAGTATAAAGGTTAATTCCTAGACTTTAATTAACATGTGTAAAATACACAAAACAGTGCCTGCCTATAAGCCATTAGTAAGAGTTAGCATTATAATTTTCTCTTTCTTTCTTTTCTTCATTCTTTCCTTCCTTCCTTCCTTCCTTCCTTCCTTCCTTCCTTCCTTCCTTCCTTCCTTCCTTCCTTCCTTCCCACAGGTGGGAGTATATTATGCATCTGTTATGCAACTTGCTTCTTAATTATTAATATATCAACTTCTGGAAACTTGCTATGTTCTAAGCCCTTCACGTGCATTACCTCTCTGAATCCTCACAGCCACATTTGGGCTAGGTGTTGTGAGTATCCCTATTTTACCAACTAGGAGTCAGACTAGGCATAGAGAGGTTATTGTGTAACGTCCTCCAAGCAATGGAGCCTGGATTTGAACCCCAGCAGTCTCATTTCAGTGCCTTCACTTAACTCCTTAGCTTTACTGCCTTTCAAAAAATTGTGGGGTCTTTTTCAGTGTTTGTTTTGGGTGGTTTTTGTATGCTTTTTTAAGCAATACTTTGTTATTATCTTTTAGACAAGAGCCGACAAAAGTTTCAAAACTGAACATTATGAAGAAAAAACTGAAGCATTCAAAACTGTCATACAAGGGACAATATCAACATTTAATGCAGATCTATCTCTAAAATTCACACCTACCGAAAAACTTGGACGTACACCTAAAATAGAGTTTGAAGGGCAAAATACTTCCAACTCAGGTGCTGAGAGTGGATTTCGATTTACATATGCGAAAAGAGATATTTACCAACTGTTCTTGTCACATTCTTCTATCAAGGTAAGAGCAAACACGTCATATAGAGAATATAATGGGATATTTTTTAAACTAACCAAAGTCCCCCTTTTAAGTTTGTGTTTAGAGAAAATTGAGCTTAGAGGAGAGAGAAAAATTTAATACTCACCAAATCCTCCAATATGTAGCTGGAAGGTAAGGAAGATGAATGTTAACTGGAGAAAAGTCCCATATAATATCTTTAGTAGTAATAAGTAGGTGAGATGGTTGCTGGTAGAGAACAGAGAACAAGCGTATTAAGAATTCAGAGCATACTTTTTGACTGAGGTTATGGTAATAGACTGTTCAATTTATACTATCTTCAGAATTGCAATGATGAATCATATTGAATAACTTTGGTAATTCATTGCAATGCCTTAGGACGATAGCCATTTACTTACTATAAAGCGTGTCTCTAAAGTAATGATGCCATGAAATGTACCTGTTGCTATGAAATTGGTCTGCATACTTCACAATCATACCTTTAATTTGAGACTTTGAAAATGTGTTTGTTTTTTTAATAGTTAAGCCAGATTTAAAAGTTTGTTTCATCACCTTTGGAATAAATACAGAATATAGTTTCTGTAATCAGTATGATGCTGGTAAAATGATCATTCTTTCTTTTCTGATATCACAGTCACCTATATAAATACCTTTCTCCCACTTTAAAAATATAATAATTCACTCAGTACTTATGATACTAATTTTATAATTGTTTTGTGGGTCTTTACATTGCCTATATATTCACATGAATATACACCTAAAGTGTGCACTTAGAAAATTCTTTAAATCACTCAACAAATATTTAATTATGGACTTACTATGCGGTTAGGTACTGCCCAAGGGCTTAGAATCCCTCTGTGAACCAAACTAAAAAAGGTTCCCATCCTCATGGAGCTGGATGGTCAGCAGGGGGTAATCAACAGAAATAATAAACATAATAGAAAAAAAAAAGGAAGCTATATAGTACTTAGAAAGTGATAAGTGCTATAGAATAAAATGAAAAGTAGAGTAGCATGAGGGAAATTGGGAGTGCTAGGCAGATGACAGTATTAAAAAAGGAAGCTTGAGGTAGATTTCATTGAGGAGATAAGATATGAGCACTATTTGAAGGAGAAGAGATAGCCAAATAGTTAAATTTGGGATGATATATCTGGCAGAAGAAACTTTTAGAGACAAATCTCTAAGATAGAAACAAGCCTGCCCATTGGGCCAAAGTGAACCAGAAAAGGTTAGAGAGGTTACGTTGAACCAGAGCATGAAGAGCCTCACAGCCTATTCTGAGAGTTTCCTTTTTCTCTGAGTGACATAAGAGGTCACTGAACTCTTTAATCTTCTAATTGTAATAGAAGGTTGACATATCCTAAATTTCATATGTCAAGATTGACATATCCTATATATCATATATTTTAAATGATTGTGCTGAGTACTCTATTGAGAAGAGATTATGGGAATTAAAAGCAAAAGCAGAAGATTTGTTAAAAATTATTACAGGAATCCAGATGACAGATGATGGCAGTTCAGACAAGACAATTGTAGAGTCAAATGTGACTCCAAGGTTTTGGTCCTGAGCAACTGGAAGGATGAATTTGCTATCAATAGAGATGGAAAATAAACTTGAGGTAGAGCAAGTCTGGAGAAGAACACACCATTTGTTAACTTTTAGTTAGATTAAGGATGAGATGTCTATTAGACTTGCAACTGGAGATGTCAAATAGGGAGTTGGTGTTATTATTCTGGAGTTTAGAAAAGAGGTCTGGGCTTGAGCTATAAAATTTGGGAGTTTTGATATATAGATGGTGCTTAAAGTCAGGGCTTGGTGAGATAACTAACAGAATTAATGTAGATACATTAAAAAAAAATCAAAGACTTAACCCAAGAATCTCAATAGAAAGAGACCTGAGGGAAGAGGGTGAACCAGTAAAGGAAAGTCAAACATGGCCAGTGTAATGCCCTATAACCTTGTTACTCAAAGTGTGTTCCGTGGACCAGCAGCATCTACATCACTGGGAAGCTAGAACTTCAGACTCGAGCCCAGACCTACTGAATCAGAATGGCACTTTACAAGATTCTCTAGGCAATTTGTTTGCACTTTACAGTTTGAGAAGAGCTGCCCTAAAAGACAAGAAAAGAAACACTATCAAGGAGAAAGACGTAATGAACTATGCCAAGTGTGCTAATATGTCAAAGAAGTTGAAGACTAAGAAGCCACTACTGGCTTTAGCATTTTGAAGATCATTCATGACCCCGACATGAGAAGTTTTGTTGGAGTTGTGAGGGCAGCAGCATGGCTGAATTAGATTTAAGGGAAACTGGGAAGAGAAGAATCGGAAATAGCAATTATAGACAACTTTAAAAGAATTTTCCTTCTATCAAAGGCAAAGAAATATGTAGCAAATGGTTGGACAAGTGAGGTCAAGAGGTTTGTTTTTTTTTTCAGTTCCTTTAAGATGCAAGAAACAACAGTATGTTTGAATGGGAATGATCTAAGGTCGGCCTCTAAAATAAGTTGAACCAAAGAACATAACATCTTTCTGACAAGATATATCTCCTAATTTTAGCAACAGTGAAAAGGAGTCCAAGTATGTTTTGTGCATCTTTGAGACCCCATTGTGAATTGTTATGCAAGTCATCAGATGGAGAATTCATATGACTTATTATATATGCATTAAGTTTCTTTAGAATATTTGTTAAAGACTGAATCACCCACTATCACCTGAAGTTAAGTCATGCAATGTGAACAATTGGGCTTCTAGAACACAGAAAGTTTGGTGTGATGTTCATATACACCAAGATGTACCTTTTAAAAAATAATAAGATGTTTTTAACTCCCATGCAATCGACATTTGCCAAACATAACTACAGGAGGAGAATCTCAAAAGAATCATCTACAAAATCATGAGTGCTAATTGTAATTTAGTTTTGGCTGGGACAGCCTATGGCATTGAATCACATAGTTCTTCATCAGTGCCCCAGTTTTCTCTTAGAAATTTAAGCCATAACCTCAGGGAACATTTAACTGTTGAGCTGTGTGAAGTTGGCTTGAAATCCATGTCTTAAAATATTGTCTGTCCCATCTCTGTTATCAAAATGGAAGAAACAGGGAGACCCAAGACCTAGTTTTTTAGAACCAATCTCTGCTACAGACTATGTGTGTCATTCGGGGCAAATAATTTGATACCTTTGGACCAGAGTTTCCTCATTTCCAAAATAAAAAGATTGGGCCTCATATACATGTCTACATTTTCTCCTATTGTTAATCTTTTTAAATCAACTTTGTGAAGTGTAATTTGCATACAGTAAAATGCAAGTATTTTAAGCCTATAGTTCCATGAGTTTTGACTGTGGTATCCACCTGTGTAACCACCTCTTCAAACAAGATAGAGAACATTTCCATGACTTCAAGGAAATTCTCTCATGATTTTAAGTCTTGTGCAGGTGTTTTTGTGGACTATTTTTTCATTGATCTTAGATAAATATGTAAAAGTAGAATTGTGGGTCATAGGGTAGATGTGTGTTTACTTTTATAAGAAACTGCCAAACAGTTCTTCAAAGTGATTACACCATTTTACACTCTGTCCCCTCACAGTGATATATACGAGAGTTTTAGTCACTGCACATCTTCACAACAGTCGATACTGATAGTATTTTAAGGTTGCCATTCTAGTGGGTTAGAGTGGTATCTTATGGTCACTGCTAAAAAGGGTATTGCTTGAGGAAAGCCCAAATTTTGTGATTTTAAATCTGAAATAATAATGATAAAGCTCATGTTTATTTTCTTTTACTCTACAACAAAGGAAAAAATATTTCTGCGTGTGAAAGGAACAGTTGATCTGGGAAGATTTGTGATGAGAAGTCGGGGTATCATGCTGACATCAACTTTCTTGGATGATATAAAAGCTCTGCCAGCTACCTATGAAAAGGGGGAATATTTTGCATTTTTGGAAAACTATGGAACCCATTACAGTAGCTCTGGATCTCTGGGAGGACTCTATGAACTAGTATATGTTTTGGATAAAGCTTCCATGAAGGAGAAAGGTATGCCTAGAAATAGAGCTCTAACTCCTATTAACCACCCATTATTCCTATTGCTAACCTTCAAAAGTTAAAGGCTTAGGAATATGGTTCTATAACCTGCTTCTTTGAGAAAACCTTCTCCCAGCTCTTCAGCATCTAAAACCCTATTAAACAGCAAATCAACTTTTATCTCAAACAAGATGACTTAGTCACACACTACTCAGCAGCACTACTGAGAAATGCACACAATTGTATTGCAATTTAATATTATTTGGTAAGGCTTCTTTTAGTGAAATCCTATTTAAATGGTGAAATAAAGTACAAGAGACGTAATTTATATAAGCTATTTCTTATTCAGTAGACTGTATCAATTATATGTATGACAATTATCTTCCAAAGTATTCTTCAGTATTGGAAGGAAAATATTGTTCTAACTTTTCTCTTAGGGAAAAGGAAAGAAGCAATGTTAACATCATGTAAGTTTAATATCTTAAAGCAAGGTGGAAAATTAGTTACCTTGTATGATGACAATTCTAATCATATGGTTGTAGTTGAATTGTGTCCATGTTAAGTAGGTTTCTGACCACAGAAGGAAAGCCATGTTTAATCATCAGTGTCTACCATGAGTACAGAATAGATCTATGTGCTACATGATTGTCATTCTGGCCTAAAGGCTTTATCTAAACATTTCAAGAATAAAGTAGATGGAAAGGGACTATGTTAATAAGTTTTAAGTATTTACTTTGTAATTATGCCAAATTATAATACTTCTTAAAGAGGTGATAGATGCCAGCATATCTCCTCTCCCTGCCCTCAAAGTTTTGGGGTGTCTCTTAGGAAGGGAAGTGCTGTCAAAACCACTTCCATAGCTTGTTCCCTGCAGCCTCTGGCAACGTCAAGTGAAGAACGGGATGCAGCTATGGTCTGAAAGCCTGGCACTGACCCCACATTTGGTAAACATTCTATGAATAAAATAAATATGACATGGCCAGAACCAACTGCTCTTTATGTCTCAGTCTAGTCTTGGGCAGGTAGAGGCCTGGCCCAGGGGAGTGGAATATGACATTCTTAGCTGTTATACTGCCTTATTGGGGCTATATTCTGCAAGATAGCATAATAAGGTATGCGGGCCCTGCCTGGTAAACTATATTAATAGATATCACATGGGTGGGGCACAAGAGGACTGCATCTTGAGTAACTTGAAAATCAGAAGAGAAAGGATCAGCAGGGGTAATCATAGCACAAAGAACCCTTCAGGCTAACAGTTCTTTGGTGGAAAAGAATGGGCTGACATCTTTATTCTTGGACAACTCAGAGCTACCAACTTAAACCTACTTACCTTCCAGCCTTTATAGACAAGGGGCTGACAATTAGGTCAGTCCTGGTGACTTTGAAGAGGAAGTCGTCTTTCGCATTTCTCCAGTGACATTACCTGAGGGCCAAGCCATGTCCTCCACCTCAGTTTGGGATGTCCAGACTGTCTGGTCATGGAAAGGTCCACAGCTGAAACAGAGACTCTAAGGTCTTTGGGGTTATTTAGGTATTTTCATCTTCATCTTCACAGTCAGCATCCTCATGCTTCTTAGGATGGAGATCTAGCATTCTGGATTTCTAGCATTGTGTTCCATTTTTATTCTCCCTTTTTCTTTCCCATGGGAAGTTCTATCTGACATTTCTCAAGTTTTCACTAATTGTGGATGCACAAAATATATTTGTTGAATAAATGCCTAAATGTCCCCAGATCTCTACTTCTAAATCTTACCATAGAACCCTGGGATTAACTTCTCCCTTTCCTTTTTCATAAAGCATTTTGGCTTCCAGGACAAACAACCACGTGTGTGTGTGTGTGTGTGTGTGTGTGTGTGTGTGTTTGTGTGTGTGTGTAATAAATAAGAGCAAAAACTGACATAGTCAATGAGCTGAGGCCTGGGCAGTTTACCCTTAAAATAAAGAAATCATGCTCTCTTTTAAATCAAGGAATAGACAACAAATTATATACTTGAGTAAATATTAGGATCTTTCTTCCTAATAACTAGAGTACACAAGCACCACAATGAGTCAGCTTCCAAGACTGATGTCTACTAAACAGCATACATAGTACGAAAACAAAGTTGTCATATATATAAGCCATCTGCCCAAAGCAGTAAACTAGCTACCTTAGTGACAAACTGAGTCTTTTAGGGAGGATCAGGAGACGCTGATACATCCCATGACCAAACTGTGAAGTCAGCACAGAGGAAATGCTTAGTAACCAGACAGCTCTGTGTTCAAATAACAACTTAGCTAATTACTAACTGACTATCATCAGCAAGTTATTTAAATGCTCTGTGATTCTGTGTACTTACCTTTAAAATGAGAATAATAATAGAACGTACCTCAAAAGGTAATTTCAAGGATTAAATTAGTTAATGCATACAAACTGCTTAGAATGATGTTGGGCATCTGGTAAGCACTTAATACATGTTAGACATTATCATCTCCCTTCTATGGTATTAAGAGGTAAAGAAGTTTACTATTACTACCCTAGTCTGACCTGTGTCACTCTAAAACAAGAGGTAAATTATATGTCATTTGCCATTAAGTGACAAAATCTAAAGGAAGTCACTAGACTCTAATACAAGGACAAGGCTGGACCTTGCATTTGAGTTCAATAATAATGTCTACAAATCCAAGTAAGTATGTTTCTTACAAAATAGCAAAATTGGATTTTATTTATGATGTTGGTAGACATTATCTAATAATTTTCAACTAAATACATTCAACAGGTGTTGAACTAAACGATGTACTGAAATGCCTCGGGTTTAATATGAACTTATCTGCGAATTTTGGAATTGAAATCAAAGGACATATAGATGCAGATGATTGTGTAATAAGGGGTAAAGGTAAACATGGTGAGTATGGCCTAACTTATTAGGTTGAAAAAAGGAGGGGTGTTCAATGAGCATGTCCCTGTCACTATGAGCCCTCTTTATTGTCTACACTTTTTATTAAAAAAAAAAACACAAAAAACAAAAACTAGAAGTGCTTAAAAACTATTTTATCTTTACAGTGGTTTCCAAATTATTATAAACACAAGTAACCCTGGACATGTATGTATTCACCAGTTTCACCACTGTGCCGGTTGTGCGGTGTGCAGCTATAGGGGGTGCCATTCACACTGTAGTCATTATAGATTTGTGTATTTATGACAGCAATGGTAGAAAACCAATGGTAGTGGTAGAAAAATATCTTGAGGTAAAGTTTCCTTTTTCCCCCCTAATTTTAAGAAGGCTTCTAAATGGGCTAGTGGCAGTACTGTGTGTGTCCATTAAGAGAGGAGAAAGCCAAAATCATCTCTCTAACTCAACCTTCCACCTGACTTGAAATCCCTAACCCACTTTCACCCAATTGGTCATGGGGTACAAACTTCCAGTTATAAGATAAAGAAGTACTGGGGATGTAATGCACAATATGATGACTATATGTAGTTGACAATGCTTTATGTTGTACGAGTATTTGAAAGCCACTAAGAGAATAAATCCTAAAAGTTCTCATCACAAGAAAAAAATTGTGTAATTATATGAGGTGATGTATGTTAACTAAACTTATTGTGGTAATTATTTTGCAGTATATATGCAAGTCAAGTCATTATGCAGTACATGTTAAATTTATGCAATGTTGTATGTCAATTATATCTCGATACAACTGAAAAAAGAAATCCCTAATCCATCCTTAATATTAAATCAGTGCATAACCTTTTTAAAAAATAAATATCTTTAGTATAAATGTTACTTCTGTTGTTAGTCTTTAGCAGATTTATAAGGATGAGGCTGTGCCCGAATTCTCAGTTTTTACTCCAAGCAAAAATACCTGAGAGTATTTTCACAAATACAAATGTTTGAGACTCACCTTTAAAGATAGTGGGGAAGCAGAAAACAGGAGAGCCTGATATTGTTTTAAAGCATACCAACCACTAAGATGTGGCCATGATTGGAAAGCACTGATGAAGTGAAAAGAAAACTGAACTTGTCATCAAATGTCATCATTTCAATATTTGGTCTTTAAGCTGACTGTATAATCTTGAGCTAGTCACTTCATCTCTCTGAGTCTCCATTTTCTCATCCATAAAAATGAAGAAACATAAACAAAAATCACCTTGAAATTCCTTTTCATTTCAAAAAGTCTGAAAGATTTGGTTCACAAGTCTGAAAGATTCACAACAGTTTGTTAAAAGTGGTTTAGTCTGGAGAGAAAGACTGAGAGGAAGGAAGAAGGGTAGGAATTTAGGGTTGAAAGAAATTTTGCTTTTCCTTTATTTATTTTTATGTACCCTTTGATTTTGTTCTAAAATTAAAATAGTTTAAAGCAAACCAATACAAAATATAACTATCAAGGAAAGTCTGAAACAAAAATAATTATAGTATATCTAAAAGTCATGTTTACTTCCCAGGTGTGCATGTGCGTAAGTGATGAAATTTAAATTATGAATGTAGCTCTATCACTGTACATTTTGATTTTTTTAAAAAGATGACTGAAGTCTACAATTAATTACTAATAAAAATTGGCCTTGGACATTTGGAGAAGAAAAGTTACATAAATAATATTTATAAGTAAAATTCAATAAATATATAGACTATAAGAGATTCAAATAAATGTTTGTCAAAAGTCACAAAATCATAAATGCTTGACTTATATCCTCTTTCTTTTCTCAGTAAACATCACCAGGGATAACCTCATAGATGACGTTATTTCACTCATAAGAGGAGGAACCAAAAAATATGCATTTGAGTTGAAAGAGAAGCTTCTCAAAGGGGCCAAGAAGATTGATGTGACTGACTTTGTAAATTGGGCCTCCTCCTTAACTGATGCTCCAATACTCATAAATCCAAGGGTAAGGAATTCTTATTTTCAAATAGAAGATTTTGTAACTTTTTTATTTAATGTAACTGTTGGTTCAGATGAACAGTTAACTTCATCTGAAAAAGATATGAGCGTTCAAATGCGCCCCAATCTCATCCCTGGAAAGAAGCACCGCACAGAAGAAAGCCACAGAGTGTGGCATCAGACCAACCAAGGCTGAGTTTGGGTCTCTGTCCCTCACTGGATATGTAACATCTTCTGACGTCTGCAACGCTAAATTCTCCAGGCTTCCATGTTTATTTTGAGGATTTAAAAAGATTGCTTCTATGGAGCCTATAGCGCAGACTAGCACGAAATAGGTGCCCAGGAATTAATTTCCTTCCATCTGCCCCTGGTTGTTCCTGGCCTTCAGGTGGCATCACACTACACTTCAAACACAGAAGAATCGTATTTATTAAGGGCCTTCAGGAAAGGGAAGTTCATAAGATCTCAGACAATAAAACCAAGGGTGAGCAATTCTTATGATCTGGAAATTCTTTCTTTCTATTTTTTTTTGTATTTTCTAATTTAAATGCATTGAGATAACATTAATTAATAACATTACATAAATTTCAGGGGGACAACTTTATCGTATGATTTCTGTATATTCCATTGCATGTTCACTACCCAGTCTAGTCTCCTTCCCTAACCATATATCTGACCCCCTTTACTTTTTGTCCTCCTCCCATGCCCTTTCCCATTTGGTAGCCACCATTGTAGGCATGAGTTTTTTGTTTGTTTTGTTGGTTGTTTTTTGTTTTATATTTCAAATATGAGTGAAATCATGGTTCTTGTCCTTTTCCATCTGACTTACTTCACAGCGTAATACTCTCAAGATCCATCCACGTTATTGCAAATGGCAATATTTCATCTTTTTATGTCTGAGTAGCATTTCACTGTATATATGTACCATACCTTCTTTATCCAATTATTCGTTGAAGGACAATTAGGTTGTTCCCATGTCTTGGCTATTGTAAATAATGATGCAATGAACACAGGGGCACATATATATATTTATGAATAAGTATTTTCAAACTTTTCAGGCAGATACCCAGAAGAGAGATACCTGGGTTATATGGTAGCTCTACTCTTAATTTTTTGAAGAACTACCATACTTTTTTCCGTAGTGGCTGTACCAATTTACATTCCCACCAGAAGTGTACGAGGGTTCCTTTTTCTTCGTATCCTCTCCAATACTTGTTGTTTCTTGTCCTATTGATAGTAGCCATTCTAACACGTATGAGGTGGTATCTCATTGTGATTTTGATCTGAATCTTGAGTATAATAGTCTTCAGTTTAAAAACCCATTGGGAGTTCACAGTTTAGTACTTATTCCTGGCAGGGAGGTGGTGGTGGGAGAACTGTGTTGTAATTGTAAAAATATAAATGCCAATGTTATTTAGCCTTATCATTCTTTCACCAAACTACAGAAGTATGTGTTTTTCTTTATTCCTTATTTATTTTTCTACATCCCTTTTTAACTTTAACAGTTTTTACAATTTTAATTTTAACAATTTTTCCCAGTATGTTTCACGATTTTCTTCCCTCAGGTCAAATTTATCTTTGACAACTACCTACTTAAGGTTGATTAACTTGAGTCACAAATATGTTGACATTTTGATAGGACTAATTATTGGAGAATTTTGCTCCTTCATTTTATCTTATTTTCTTTATGAAGTGACTGATCCCACCAAAACTATCCCATTTATGGGAGGGAGGAACTCAAAAACTGAAAAATTATCATCTATCCTTCTTTCTGGTTACAGAAATCTAGCCATTGATTGATGTATCTATGAGACTTCAAATATTGTGTCCCAAAAAAAAGGACAAAAAGGGAGAAAAAGGTCGCCTAAAGAACATGTCCATATATGAGATTAAAATCAGAAAGAGCCCCTTTTATTGTATTTAAATCATATTTAAATTCATTATCTTAAACTCAGTGAAGTAAATAGATTCCAAATTCTTTTGCTCTCATAAATCCAGTAGAAGTTGTCCTTTGGTTAATTGAAAGCGATTTCCATGAGGTAATTGCACAATCTATAGTCGCTAATTCATTCTTCCGTAAGTTGAAGCATTCTGTTGTCAGTGGATGACATGTTTAAACACTGGAGATGGTCTGAATTTTAAAATAATTGGCCCTCCTACTTAATCATTTAAAGAATTGGTGAAATCTCTCCCCACCCATGCTAAACTATTAACTGGTTTATATTTAATGCTCTGTAGTAAAGTAAATCAATTATCTAAGTGTTTATGTTGCAGTTTATCTTGGAGTAAACACTAAAAAGTTATATTACTCTAAGTTAAAGGCTATATGAATATATTACTGAGATCTTCTAAGTAAACCATGTGAAAAATATATATGCATAATATCATATAATTATATATATTTCATACTAAAGTAACTGTGGCTTGTCTCCCTTTGTGTGCTTCAGCAACTCTGAACCACTTCTTAAGGAATGTGTTGATCCACCCCCCAAATTTTTCCTCAGCCCCTCTCCATGCAGAGGAGATAAGCTGTGCCTCTTGTTAGTATTTACTTTGATCATAGTCTTCTTTTTATGGAAGTATATTAATTCTATTTCCAGCTTGTCTAAATGTGAACACAAATGAGTCTACATTTTATCTCAACAGAATAGCTTAACTTTGGTTTCTTCTTAAGATTACTGCTACAAACTAGATATAAAAATGTCAGCTGAGAGAAATTACATTTATTAAGGGTTGTCTGAGAGATATAAAGTTTATGATTTCCTCTAGAGCAACAGCAGCAGAGACCAGTACAGCTAGACTATAGCATATTAGTTTCCTATAAAGTTTTGTTTTGGCATTATAAAAAAACAAGTGGATTATGTAACCCATTGCTTTATTTACCAAAAGGATATTACATAATACAATGTCTCCTTTATGAGAACTCATGGGAGGTATTACTCTTTCATCTCAGTTTCAAGGATCATTTTATTTGGGGATCAGGTAAGTTTTTCTTATATGCATGTGATCATTAAATTCAGTTGTCTTGCTCAATGCGCTAGAAAATATAACCAAATTTGTGACCCACCTCATGCAAATGGATGGGTTCTCCTGTATAAATTTTATGCATTTGTGTTGCCTTTCCTTTTATTTTGCCTTTTCTGTTCTTAGTTGTTCATTTCTCAGGTCCCTCAACCATTCTTATCCACCCACATATGAAGCTATATTCAGCTCTTTCTAGAATAACTTGGGTAATAATGAACTCATTAACCCACCATGTTTGTTACATTGTGCAACTCTTAGCAGTGATACACCAAGTGTTAGTTAGCATCAGTGCTCTGTATTACAGTCATTTATAATGCCATAGTGAAAAATCATTCCTAGCTCTCTTATAGGGATAAAAATTACACTTGTTCTATAAATAAACTACATTTGATACATATAGTTTAATTAGTTTGGAAATCTGCAAGAAATCTAAATGTACTTAATATTAAACTATATTGTCCATTTTTTTTGTATTTTAACAAGTTTCATGATAGTCTACATCCACTGAAAACAGATCTACAAATTGTAGAAATATAGAGTTAGCTAGGATAGGAGAAAAATTATAACTGCTTTCGTACTTAACAGAAGGCCACAGTTCATCAGAAAAAGATGTGGCTCTTCAGAAAAACTTCAAGAAGTACATTTTAATTGTTCTTTGTCTTCTTGTGAGATTTTTTACTTCAGGGTTTGAGATTCCTCTGAAACTGTTACCATTACATGTTCTTCATCTTTATCTCTTTGAACACTGTTTATGCATTTCATCCAATTTGGATTTTCTCCATGACCTTCTGTTCATGTATCTTGGATTAGCTAGCCTTGACTTTCCTTTGAGGAGTAAAACAAGATGAATTTCTTTTCTTAAAAATCAAAATAACTCTAAAATGCTTATGTTGTTTGTACAATGTGGCAACATTGGTAAGAGGTTTCTTTCTCCCAAATAAGTATGACATAGTTGAAAACTGAATCTTACATACTAACTCATAAAAGACTACACTGGTGGACAGTCATGTAGAAGTGCTTAATATATTCTGAATATGAGATATTCTCACTTAAAACTGTTATTAATGTCTCCTCTCATTTGAAGACTTTCATCCTTTAATGGTATGCTTGATAACTGATGTCTTCTTTCCTACATTTTATTTTGAAATAATTTTAGACTTCACATAAAATTGCACAAATAGTACAGGAAGTAAATTACAAATTGTACAGAGTTCACGTACACCCTACACCCAACAGCTCCTAATATTAACAACTTACATAATACCACGATTAAAATAAAAAAATGAACAATGACAAAATCACAGACCTTATTTAAATTTCACCAGTTTCCCCCCCCCAATGTCCTTTTTTCTGTTCCAAAACCCAATCAGGATCCCACATTGCATTTAATGTGTCCTCTAATCTATGACATGTCCTCTAATCTATGACACTTCCTCAGACGTTCCCTTCTTTCATGCCCATGACACTTTTGACGAGTATTGTGTCAAATGTCTCTCAGTTTAGGCTTAGAGTAGATTGAGGCTTTGCATTTTTGGCAAGAATACTACAAAAGTGATGTGTGTCCTTCTCAATGCATCATATCCGGAATTATGATGTTGATTTGTTTTTATTTTAATGTATTTAAATGTATATTTCTTTTCATTACAATTAGTGGTTTTTCGTCCCGTTTCAAGTTGTTCCCTACCTCAAGGTCCTGAAGACACTTTGCTATACATTATCTTCCAGAAGCTGTATTGTTTTGCTTTTATATTTCTATCTACAGTCAACCTAGAGTTGTTATGAGTGTGTGAAATAAGTCAGAAGGTCACTTCGTAAAAACTTTCCCTATGAAGAACTCATTATTACTGATTGTATCTATTAAAATCAAATGTCAGTCTATTCTCAAAGTAACTAGGGCTTTTAACTAAGCAGCTTTTACTCTGATGTGCCTAGATGTGAAAAGAAAAATATTTAGCCTTGTTTTTCATTAATATGATATCTTGACATTTGTCATCAGGTTTGTAATAGTCTCAGGCATTAACTCTTTAGATATTGCCCCTTACATGTTCTCTCTTTCTGGGACTCAAATATATGGATCTTTCACCTTCACCCCTTGTTTTCTACCCTTTTTCTGTGTTTCCCAAAGTTTATCTTTTCATATTTCACTGTCAGCATTTTTTCTTCTGATCTATATTTCAGTTCATTAACTTTGTATCAGTTGTGTCACATCTGCTATTTAATCAATCCATTAATTTGTGTATAATAATATCAAGTTCTAATATACCTGTTTGTTTCTTTTATCAGATCTCCTATTTAAAAAAAAAATTCCTGTTCTCTGCTATAATTTTCAATCTTGTCTCTTATCCCCCTGCTTACGTAAACATAGTTATTTTAAAGTCTATGTCAGATAACTCAAACCTTGGCATTCCCCCATTGCTCTGTTTCTACTTTATATTATTTCTATGGTTCTGATTCATATTGCCTTGTTTCCTTGTGTACCTAGATATTTTTATTGTGGACTGAATGTTATACTTTAAAAATTGTTATAGGAGTAGTATGAGGCATGGAATAATTTTATTTTCCTCAAAGGAAATATACATTTACATCTGGAAAGCTTCTGGAGGACTAATAATTCAGGATTATTTTACTCCCAACCAGGCTGCAGTCTCTACCAGAGCTATCTCACTTCCTCTGGCCTGTTACTTCTAGGGCTGTAGTCCTTTGGGTCCCAAACCAAAGCACACCTCATTTACCTTTGTTGGTCCTAATTTCCAACCTTTCTTCCCCAGTCCAAAAATAACACTGGTCTACTTCTTAGCCCCTCAACTGCCTCTTTCTCAGGAAATGTGTAAAAAGGATTGGTGGCCCCAAAATACTGGGCTCACCTCACTGAATTTCCATCTGCTCCCAGATCTTTATTACCTTGCTAATTCTTTTTCACCTTGTTAGTTCTCCAAGGCCTTCAAGCAGATTTTTAATTTTGGTTTTGTTTTATTCAGCTTTTTTTGTTGCCTTCAGTAAAAGGATTAGTTGACAATATTTAATCCATCATTACTTTTCTGCAGAAATTGATGGTATAATTTTTTGTATCTTCTTTCTTGAATCTTTACATTCCAAATCCCTTTAAATTTTGTGCAACCATCACTACCGTCCACCTCCAAAAGTTTTTCATTCTTCCAAACTGAAACTCTGTACCAATTAAACAATAACTTTCCATTCCCTACTTCTCCAGCCCTGGTAACCACTATTCTACTTTCTGTCTTTATGAATTTGACTGTTTGAGGTACTTCATATATAATTTCAATCATGGAACATTTGTTCTTTTGCATTGGATTAATTTCACTTAGTGTAATGTCTTCAAGCATATATCAGAATTTCATTGCTTTTTAAGGCTGAATAATATTCTGTTGTGGCATGTATATACCACGTTTTGTTTCCCCATTTCTCTATTGATGGATGCTTGGGTTGCTTCCACCTTTTGGCTATTGGGAATAATGATGTCGTGAACATGGGTGTACAAATATCTCTTTGTGTCTCTGCTTTTGATGCTATTGGGTATATAAACAAAACTGAAGTTGCTGAATCATATCGTAATTCTGTGTTTAATTTCAGTTGCACCATTTTATATGCCCACAGGCAATGCACAGTGGTTCCAATTTCTCCACATCCTGGTCAATACTTGTTATTTTCTGTTTTTTGTTTTTGTTTTGGGTTTGGGTTATTTTGTTTGTTTTTATTTAATAATATCTATCCTACTGGGTGTTAAGTGGTATTTTATTGTGGTTTTGATTTACATTTCCGTAATGATTAGTGATGTTGAGCATCTTTTCATGTGCTTATTAGCCTTTTGTATATTTTCTTTGGAGAAATGTCTACTCAAGTCCTTTGCCTATTTGTTAATCAGGTTATTTAGTTTGGTTTGTTGGTTTTGTTTTCTTGTTTTGTTTTGTTTCTGAGCTATAAGAGTTCTTTATATACTCTGGATATAATCCTTTATCAGATAATATAATTTGCAAACATTTCTTCCCATTCTGGGGGTATGCCCTTTTACTCCACTGATAGTGTCCTTTGATATATAACAAGTTTTTAATGTTGAACAAATATAATTTATTTACTTTTTCTTTTGTCTATGTTTTTTTGTTTTGTTTTTTTTTAATTGGGGAATTGGGGGAGAGGAACAGTTTTGGGGAATTGGGGAGGAGGACCAGCCAAGTCGTTGTTCTTCAATGTTGTTCTTAGTTGTAGAGGGTGCCAGTTGCCATCTGGCTGCCCCTCAGTAGCTCATGGCCTCTAAGCTCAAGGTGTTGAGTTCAGTCTTAGTTGTGGGCCAGCATAGCCACCATCAAACAGGAAGTCTTGTTGTTAGGAGCATGTGCTCTCACCAGCTGAGCTATTCTGGATATCCAGAATATCCAGAATATTCTTGTTGGCAGCTCAGCGGCAGCTCAGCGGCAGCCCGGCTCTGGCACAGCATCACTGGCCCATGTGGGAATCGAACTGGCGCCATTTTGCTCAGAGCTCACGCTCTTAAACTTAACTCTTAACCAACTGAGCCATTCAACCAACCCCGGTTGCCTATGTTTTTGATGTCATAGCCAAGAAATCATTAGCCCTGATGTTAGTGCCATGAAACTCTGTATGACTGGAATCCTCTTCTTTCTTCCTTAACACCCTCCAATCTCAACTGAATCTCATTTTCTCAGGAAAACTTTTCCAAGCATCCCTGATTCAGTTGTAGCAACTTTGCATCTTACTCCAGGAATTTAGGTGTGCAAAATAAATCATTCTACTTCATTTTCTTGATGTCCAATTAAATTGGACATTGAGACCCCATCCCTTCATGCTGCTGGAAAATTCATCCTTCATTAACTTTTTGGGTGGGGTTCAGAGAGTTACTTCCTTGTTGCCTGAATTAATACAAATATTCTGATGCTTCTGCTGGGGAAATGGAGATATGCTACATGTAAGTATTTACTTCCTTGTAGTCACCTTGATAACCTCATTGATCAAGTTCATATGTTCACTTGAAGTGAAGTGGTTCCAAGCCTTCCATGCCAAGATTGTGCATGGGAATCATTGGCAAAACTAGAGCCCTGGTCCTTGATATCCAGGGGGCAATCCACAGGTCTTGCTTCTCCCCAGAATAATGGTTAGAGGTCTAATTATGATTTCCTACTATTTAAGGTACATACTAACTCTGTTCCTATCCTGGTCTGGAAGAATCTCCTCCTTCAGTGGCATTCTTCTCACACTCCTTCCAGCAAAAATTTTCCAATGAGTTCAGGCTTTTAGAGAAAAAGTTCAACAAAGAGTTGACCTTCAAAGGTATTCTGGACTTAGCCTAGCACACAAAACTCCTCTTAGCCAAGAGAAGCACCTGGCTATCTTCTGAAGAAGGAGAGGAGGGGGAAAGGCAGCAAAAGAACTCACAAAATAATGTCAATAAATTTTACTGCCAAAATCTTAAATCCATGATTATTCATTTATAAAACACCCATACCCATCCTTTATAGCACATACCATACTTTCCATTTTGAATGAATCTGTATGATGATTTTAATATCAGTCTCCTTACCTCCATAATGTCATCTCCATGATCACAAATATGACTAGTTTCAGTCTTAAAATCTAACATTATATCTGGCAATAATAGTCCTTCAATACACCTTTATTGAATTAGTTAATTAATGAATAAATAATTCAGCGAGGAGTATTATAAGCTCCATCAATAGAAAAAGACCTAAAATTAAATGTTTTGGTTTCTTGCAGCTGTCTCCTATATATAACCTGATTCCAGTGACAATGAAAGATGCACACGTAAAGAAACAAAATGTGGAAAGAGCCATTGAGGATTATATCAATGAATTCAGTACAACAAAATGCCACCCATGCCAAAATGGGGGTTCTGTGTTTCTGCTGGATGGACAATGTTTGTGTACCTGCCCAATCACACACACGGGAATTGCCTGTGAAATCAATAAACAAACATCACTTTCAAGTGAGAACAATTTATTTGATATCAGTAAGGACAAAAATATGTATTGGGGTTATTTAATTTGAAAACGAGCTCAAATTAATTTGTACTAAACTTCTGGATTATCCAAGTAAACATAGGACAAAAATAGAATAAGTGGTAAAAAATGGACAAATCAGACTTAGTGTTTCATTCTACGTGCAATTTTAATAACTTCTACCTCTACATGTAAACATATCTATAAAAAATAAACTGACTATATTATTTTTTAATGATTATATTATTTTTAATTACAAAAATGTTCATATAAAATTTACAGAAATATAATGAACATCCAGGTGTTCACCATCCAGAATTAACAAATGTTAAACTCATATATATCATATATACTTTATATGTGTATATGTAATATACTATATGTGTACACATGTGTGTGTATATATACATGCACATAAATACTTCAGAACCCCTTTTTTAAGAAAAACGATTATAGATACAGTAGAGTCCCTTGTACCACATCCTCTCCCCTGTAAAGAAGCCTGGGTGTCTTTCTTTTCCCCAACCCTACTCAGCTAAAGTCACTTTCATTAAGTTAGCATAGATCCTTCAGGTTCACATTTTTGTACTTCACTAAATATGTAGGTAACAATAAAAAACATTTAACATTGTTTTGGATTTTTTAAAAAATTTACATAAATGGTATTTACTGAATTTTAATTGTGCAATTTTAACTTTACTAGTGTTTAAGAAAACTGAGATTCTGCACTGTCTTTTACAGCTAACCATCTGACATCATATTATTTTACTTTTACAAGGAAGAATGACTTCACCATGTTTCTAATACTAGGAGGATCTGCTTAGTCTTTCATTCTGATAGAATTAGTTAGAATCCTAATCGATAAGCAAGAGCTCAACCAAAGTGTTAATCATCACAAGATTAGCTAGTAAGACTAACTTCCTATGGCAATCATTGATTACATTTTTGATTGAACAAACAATAGCAATTTCCTACAACAAAATTTCTAAAACAATTATGAAGTTTCCTAAAACAAAGAATCACAGCCCCAGTTTATCATTCAATCATACTTTCAACTCTACCAACAGAACTTTGAATATTACAAGAACTTTTTTTTGCCCTTCTTAACACACACACTTAAAATCTCAATGATGTGGTGACAATATACATGTTAGGATTTAACTTAAATTTTAGGATAAATATATGCTAACTTTATCTCTCATTGACCTTAAGAGTCAACCTGATGCTTTGCAATCCAAAAAGCATTTGTATTTTCCCAAAATCCATGGTATTACTATTCAGGACCTCTATTTTCTATATACTGGGTTGTCGGAAAAGTCATACTGCATTTTTGCAACAAAAAACAGAAAAAATATGTCATAACTTTTCTGACAACCCAATATTTTTCTCTTCTGGCACTAGTCACGTTTACTCTCCTTATACAAGATGAATTTCCCCTCTAGTTGGGGAATGTGTTTTGTAACTTAAACCTCATTCTATTCCCAGCACTTAGACAGAATCTGGCACATCATGGTACAACAAGCTAAGGGGATGAATAAATAGATGGGTAGATGAGCCCAAAGTTGAAGTCCTATTAATCATTAATATTTGATAATCTCTTTTGTTTTCTCTAGAATTGCCAAGCAAAGAAGAATAGAGTTGCTGGCTTCCCTGGGATCACATGGAAGGAAAAACATCAGGAAGAAAGAAAGAAAGAAAAAAAAGAAAGAAAGAAAGAAAGAAAGAAAGAAAGAAAGAAAGAAAGGAAGGAAGGAAGGAAGGAAGGAAGGAAGGAAGGAAGAAAGAAAGAAAGAAAGAAAGAAAGAAAGAAAGAAAGAAAGAAAGAAAGAAAGAAAGAAAGAGAAAGGTACGAAGAAAAACAATGCAAAATCAAAGTTAATAAATGTTTAATAGTGTCAACAGCATGTATCATGTTGACTTCATTGTCATTCTTATTAATAAACATTTCATGCATTTATAAATAAATTTTAAGTCAGTCTTTCTCACTTTGTGGAAATCCTCAAGAGTGCACCTGATTGCTGAGAGATCACAGTAAATAAATTATTTATTAGCAAATAATTTTAAAAGAAAACTTTAAAAAATAATTTTCAACTGTTTTTAGCAACAAAGAAAAAGGTTTTTGGATATAGGATGCATTTTAATATATTAGGTATGATACAAAAATGATACTCTAAAAATAAAAGTGCTGGTCCTTTTAACGTCTAAAATAACCCTGAGAGCTCTCAGAAACCTGGGTGAATCAGCAAGAATTAAGATGTTGAGTGCATACAAACACTGAATTGTGCTCTTAGGCAATCCACTGTTGAGAGTTTTTGACGTAGAACATCTGGCTCATGGGGGGTTATCATAGTAAATACTGAGAATTCCTTGCACCCTTGTGAATTATAAATGTCAAACAAGAAAAGAGCTGAGGCTCGACCAGACCTCTGGGGTGGGCTTAATGATTTATCAGAGTCCCTTCTACCGGAAATGGGGGTTACAGTGTAGGTTCACTGTTGACAGTGAGATCCTCCAACCTCCCTCAAAGGCAGCGTATCTGGTAGAACATTTCCAGCAGGGTGCACCATTGAGACACCAGAAACTACCCAACAGGAAAGAGTCAAGAAGAAAGTCTCTAGACCTAGAATGAGGAAGAATCACCAGAAATTGGGGAAGATGAGGCTCCCCAGGCTGCTGAACATTATGTGGCTCAGCCTGACTTGTGGTTGGAAGAAGAAGACTCTTGAGAAGGGAAGCTGTAGCTTGGTCCAGGCAGACGGAGGATCGCAGCCCCCCACCCTTGCACGCTCTCTGACAAGGCACACCACAAACTCTAGGCAAGGGACCTGTGAGCAAAAGAGCCACCTGAAGCTCAAGCTGTACATTCAGATCATTACACTGAACTCCGGCCCTTATCAAAAAGACCTGGAGAAGCTGGTGGTCATTCATGTTCCCTTTGGTCTAATGGGAAAAGAAACTTCAGAGTATTGTTACATTCTTACATTTTTCCCATTTTGTATTTAACACGCAGGGTGCTTATTCAATCTACCAATCTCATGGAAGACAGTCAAATATACCGGCTAACTAATAAATGTATGCGGTGAAGCACCTTCACCCTGGCTTTTCACTACTATCTCCCCCGAGGCCCTTTGATTGTATGTGCAGGGGACGCTGCGTACAACAGCCCACAACAGCAGCTCCTCAGTTAGTTTCCCAATAGTTATTTGTGAAAAACAACCAAAAATGGTGGATAAAAGACCAGGTCAGCTTAGTTTATTTGAAAAGAAAATGAAATGATTCTCTCTCTCTCTCCCTCTCTCTCTCTCTCTCTCTCTCTCACACACAAATAATTCTCAGGACAAACATCTCTTTCTGCTCAGCCCACCCCGAACCCTCTACCTCAACCTCATATTCATTACCCACAACCCTGCTAAGAGCAGTGAAATGTTCAAGAGAAGAGAATGGTTGAAGAGAATGTATATTTAACAATACACAAGTCACTAAACCCCAGGATAATGATATCTCCTTCATAGGATTATATTGAGTCACTGAGATAAAGCATATAATCACCTTGGCACGTAATAGACAAGCAATCCATGGTAACTGTTACTATCAGTATCATGAAGGGAATTGACATAAGTCCTTCCAAATATAACAAACATTAGTGACATGAGATGATAAAATCTGAAAATTGAGGATAATGGCATATGGCAGAGTGGCTTAGTACTCTCCTCTAAATAATTAGTGGGTTCACTGATTTAAGAGGAGTTATTGTTTTATTGTGGCAAAATATACATAATATAAAATTTACCATTTTAACCATCTTAGGAGTATGGTTTGGTGGCATTAAGTACATTCTTCTTGTTGTGCAACCTCCACAAGTTTTTCAACCTTCCTAACTGAAATTCTGTACCAATTAAACAATAACTTTCCATTCCCTACTTCTCTGGCACTGGTAACCACTATTCTACTTTCTGCCTTTATGAATTTGACTATTTGAGGGACTTCATATATAAGTGGAATCATGGAATATTTATTTGTTCTTTTGCATTGGATTAATTTCACTTAGTGTAGTGTCTTCAAGTATATATCAGAATTTCATTGCTTTTTAAGGCTGAATAATATTTTATTGTGATATATATATATATATATATATATATAAAATCACAATGTATATCACCTTTTGTTTCTCCATTTCTCTGTTGATGGGTTGCTTCCACGTTTTGGCTATTGGGAATAATGATGCCATGAACATAGGTGTACAAATAACTCTTTGTGTCTTTACTTTTTATGATATTAGGTATATACTGAAAAGTGGAATTGCTGAATCGTATGGTAATTCTGTTTAATTTTTTGAGGAACCACCATACTGTTTTTCACAACAGTTGTATTTTACATTCCCACCAGTAATGCACAGTGGTTCCAATTTCTCCACATCCTGGTCAACACTTGTTATTTCTTTATTTTTTTAATAATAGCCATCCTAATGGGTATAAAGTGGTATCTCATTTTGGTTTTGATTTATATTTTACTAATGATTAGTGATGTTAAGCATCTTTTCATGTGCTTATTAGCATTTTGCATATTTTCTTTGGAGAAAGGTCTATTCAAGTCCTTTTCCTATTTGCTAATCAGGTTGTTTGGTTTTGTTTTGGTTTGGTTTGTTGTTTTGTTTTTAGTTGTAAGAATTCTTCATAGGGCCGGCCGAGTAGCACGATGGTTAAGAACTGGCTTGGGATGCCAGAGGGCCCCGGTTCGGATTCCACATATGAGGGCCAGTGACACTGCCCTCTACAGCTAAGATGCTGAACAACAGCTCAACCTAGAGCTGGGTTGCCATGAGTCGCCGGCGATGGCTAGGCTGCAGACCCTGTGGCAGTGGGTTGCCATGGGCTACCGTGTGTAGCCAGCAGCCAGCGTGAGCGGCCAGCAGCCGCAGTGAGCGGCTGCCCAGAAGCCGGCGACTGATCTGCCTTGCCCGGGAAGAGCGCAATGATGGTGCCAACTTGGGCCAGTGAAGCAACGTCCTCCACAACTAGACTGAAGAACAAAACGACATCAATTTGTCTGTTCCCCTTCCCCCAATTCCCCAGCACTGTTCCCATTCCCCCAATTCCCCAATAAAAATCTTAAAAAAAAAAAAGAATTCTTCATATATTCTGGATATTAATCCCTTATCAGATATATAATTTGCAAATATCTCCTCCCATTCTGGGGTATGCTTGCCTCACTCTACTGATAGTGTCCTTTGATGTATAAAAAGTTTTTAATGTTGAGAAATCTAATTTATTTACCTTTTCTTTTGTTGCCTATGTTTTTGATGTCATATCAAAGAAATTATTGGATCAGATGTTACTGTCATGAAGCTTTTCCCTCATGTTTTCTTCTAAGAATCTTTTTGTCTTATTAGCTCTTAGATCTTTAGTCTTTGATACATTTTGAGTTAATTTTTGTTTATGATGTAATGTAAGGCTTCAACTTTACTCTTTTGCATGTGGATATACAATTTTGCCAATATCATTTGTTGATCTGTGATTTTTTTTTTTTTACCGTGTCCTAAAGTCCATCAGCCTGGAAGAAACAGGAGAAAAGAGGGTCATGATGGCTTAGAATCATTTCACAAATTGTGTTCTAATAAATTTGTTTTCTTAACTACACTATAAATATTCCTAAGTCTTCCTATAGCATTATTAATAATATTAAGTTCAAAAGTACTATAGAATTGAAAGTTGAAATATTCCTTTTCTTCTGACCAAAAGGAAAATTGTCATTAGATTACACTCAAGTATGGCTAATTTCGTATTAGTACATAAATAATTATGTATTTAGGTCAGCGTCCTGCCTAACAAATCCAAATTTGAGCAATAGAGTATGAAAAAGACTAAGGTTGAGTAACTTTTCAATAGGAGAGAATAGGGTAATTCTAAGGTGTAAAAGAAAGAAAGAAAAAAAGAAACTCAAGGGAAAAGTGTAAAATTTGGAAATATTTTCAAACTGACTGTTTTTTCAAAAACTTGAAATCATATTCTAAAAGTTTTTAAAAAAATATATGGCTTTCCAATATTTATTCTGTACTGAAACAAATATTCCTATTTTAAAATTAAACAGACAACTGATGAGAAAAATGAGTGTATCCACACCTGCAGTTAATTGACAATGGGAAAGAGAAAGAACTCAGGGAATGGTGGAGTGATCCATTTTCCCCTTTGTCATCTTCCCTGAGTCTGTACAATCCCAAAGCACATCTGTTATTTTCCAAACTTTCTGGCCTAATTTTCCTGTTGGGAAAGATACTGGGAATGAACAAATGAATGAATGAATCAATCAATCAATCAATCAATTTTTCATATAGGACATTTTCTTTCTTACATACATTAAAATGCAAATTATCCTTAACAAAATGTTAAGCACAATGACCAACCCAATGAAGGTACACGATTTGAAGATGTCAATTAAATCTTATCTTGGAAACCCAGCGAGATAAAAGGATGATAACGTGGATTCTGCTTCTGAGGAGTATATACAAGGAATGAAGAGGTGAGGAGAGAATAACAAAAGCCATGAGAGGAAAGCACAAGACACAACGGACTCCACTGAGCATTTTGAGTCCCCAAAAACCCAAGATGAGGGTAAGATACAAATGACAGGAAAAATAGCAGAAGAAAGTAATAATACATTAATATATAGCAGAATTCTTCTGTAAGCTTTGTTCTTTTTTTTCTTTGCATTCCAAGTTAATTGATTTGATAAAAAAAACTCCATAAGTGGGCCGGCCGAGTGGCGTGATGGTTAAGAATTCGCTTGGGATGCCAGAGGGCCCCGGTTCGGATCCCACATATGAGGGCCAGTGACACTGCCCTCTACAGCTAAGATGCTGAACAACAGCTCAA